ATTCTATTCTATTCTATTCTCTATTCTATTCTGCATTCTAATTCTATTCTATTCTATTCTGCATTCTATTCTGCATTCTAATTCTATTCTATTCTATTCTCTATTCTATTCTGCATTCTAATTCTAATTCTATTCTATTCTATTCTATTCTCTATTCTATTCTCTATTCTATTCTGCATTCCAATTCCAATTCTAATTCTAATTCTATTCTATTCCCCATTCCTTATCTATTATATTCTATTTCTATTCTGGTCTCTTTTCTTTTCTTTTCTTCTGTTCTATTCTGTTCTGTTGTTCTTCTCTTCCCTTCTATTTTCTATTCTGTTCTGTTCTATTCATTATTATTTCTATTCTGCAGCTGAGCTGGGAGTCCTGAGAACAGGGGGTTCTGGACCTGTGCATGCAAACAACTGCTAAATTCAAATTTATTTATTTTAATTTTATTTTATTTGGTTTGAGCATAAGGGGCAATAGTTTGCATGAAGTGGCTGTTATGTTTCCCATCCCGTAGGACTTCCCCTGGATTCTAGCCGACGAGCAGGACGTCCACATGCATGATCCCCGGCTGATCCCCCTGAAGACCATGACCTCAGACCTCTTGAAGGTGAGCAGACCCACCTTCTGCGCCTGGCCAGCTTGGAGAAGGACAAGCTGGAGATTGGATCCAACCAAGAACATTGGTTGGAATTCCCTCCTTTTTATACGCCGGAGGGCTTCCTGATTGGCTCTCTGAGGTCACGTGACCCCAATCCTAGGGAGAGTCGAGACCCATGGGCCCACAGTTCTTCCTTTGGCCACCAGAGGGTGCTTTGATTTTTACAGCATTTGTTTATTTAATTTATATTCTGCCCATTTTGGAATTTATGGGCCCTCAGCTCTGTTGCTGTTTGAAAGGTGGGGGGATTTGACAGTGTGGCCAGCCTCTTCTTGCAGAACTCACCCCCACCTCCATCCCCAACTGTTCCTTGGTTGCATTTGCACAATGGTGTTTAATAACCCAGTTTGCTGATTCCTCCCATTCAATCCCAAAGCCCAGACCAGGAACTGGGAGCTCCTTTTTGCACTGACCCGTCAATCTTCCTCAGTGGTTGGTGTGTTTTGCATGGCTGCCAAGGAAGAGCGCCATTCAGTGTGTCCTCGGTGTACAGAAAAGTAGAGTCCTACACTTAGGCAAGAAAAACCCCAAAGTACACCTACAGACTGGGTAAAAAAACTAAAAGTAACTGTGAGAGGGAACTTGGAGTCTTAGTGGACAAGCAGTTAAATATGAGGCAACAGTGTGCAGCGGCAGCCAAAAAAGCTAAGTTGCATTAACAGAGGGATACAATCAAGATCAAGGGAGGTACTAATACCACTCTATAAAGCCTTAGTAAGGCCATACCTGGAATTCTGCATCCAGTTTTGGTCACCATACTATTAAAAAGATGTTGGGACTCTAGAAAGCGTGCAGAGAAGAGCAACCAGGATGATGAGGGGACTGGAGGTTAAAACATACGATGAACGGTTGCAAGAACTGGGCCTGGCTAGTCCAGGGAAGAAAAGGACCAGGGGAGACAGGAGAGCAAGTGTTCCAATATTTGAAGGGAGAGGGAGAGAAAGAAAAGGAAAGAGAAAGGAAGGAAGGAGAGAAAGAGAAAAAGAAAGAGAACAAAAAGGGAGAGAAAGAGAGAGGAAACAAAAAGGAAGGAATAAAGGAGAAAAAGAAAGAGGGAGAGAAAGAGAGGGGGAGAGAGGAAGAGAGAGTGATTGGAGGCTAAAACATACAATGAATGGTTGCAGGAACTAGGCCTGGCTAGTCTAAGGAAGAGAAGGACCAGGGGAGACAGGAGAGCAGCCTTCCAATATTTGAGGGGTTGCCCAGAGAGGAGGAAGGGGTCAAGCTATTCTCCAAAGCACCTGAAGGCCAGAGAAGGAATAATGGGTGGAAACTGATCAGGGAGAGATTCAACCTGGAAATAAGGAGAAACTTTCTGACAGAGAGAAGAATCAACCAATGGAACAGAAGTTGCCTTCGGAAGTTGTGGGAGCTTCATTACTGGAAACTTTCGAGAGTGGACCGCCATCTGTCAGGAATGGTATACGGCAGTGATGGCGAGTCTTTTTGTTGTGGTGTGCTGAAAGTGTGTGTGCTGGCACCCACAATGCAATGTGGCACTCTGCACATGCGTGTGCAACACTCCCGCCCCCTTACCTGCACTGCGCATGCGTGTACCTCCCAGTTGATTTTCGGCCCAAAAACGGGCCTTCCGGAAATACAGGAAGTGCTGAAATGGGCTTGTTTTCAGCCTCCCGAGGCTGCAGAGGCTTCCCTCGAGCCCCCGGCAGGGTGAAAACGGCCTCCCCCGGGCTCCAGAGGCCCTCAGGAGGCCGAAAACAGGCACTTCCGGTATTTCCGGAAGTCCCGTTTTTCGGCCTCCTGAGGCGGCAGAGGCTTTCCTTGAGCCTCCGAGAAAGCGAAAATGGCCACAAACGGGCCAAAAGTCAGCTGGGAGGTGCGCGCATGCACAGTGCAGGTAAGCTTGGCTGGGGCTCGGGTGCCTGTACAAATGGCTCTGTGTGCCATTTGTGGCACACGTGCCATAGGTTCGCCATCGCAGGTGTAGGGTCTCCTGCTTGGGCGGGGGGTTAGACTAGATGACCTACAAGGTCCCTTCCAACTCTTTTAATCTGTGATCTGGCCCAAATCCTGCCTTTCTGCAAAGGCCCCAGTCTTGGAAAACCCTGATAAATGCAAGATTCCTGATTTGAACCCTATCCTTTCAGATGCAGCTCTACGTAGAGGAGCGGGCACAGAAAGGCACTTGAACCTGGGACTTCCGAACCATTTTGGAAATCTGCAATGCAGGCGACGCGTTACCAAGCTCGTCCCCTGCAACCACATCAGTGCTTGGACGATTGACACGCGCGTGTCCGAGTTCCCTTCCTGGCTACCGGGTGATTTGTGTTTTTAAAAGTGCTCTTAAATCCCGCCAGGTTACTCTCATGTCGTCTTCTACCGATTCAGCGAGCCGGGTACTTTTCAAGTTGCTAGACCTGAGGGAAGACAGGGCACTGCAGAACTGTGCCTAGAAAGTGGTCACGTTTTGATTGCTGTGAAAACACTCGTCTGTCTTACTTTTTTAAATGAATGTTTATTGCTGTGTTTCCGAGGTGCTAATGTAGAATGATAGGATATGACTAATTCACTGTAAATAAACAAGTTGTATCTGGTAGCAACCACGTCTAACTTTGCCTGCCCCCCCACCGCTGAACCCAGATGTGGGATTTAAGACCGACAAAGGTTTGATTGAAAACATTTTTATGAAATACAACTTTTCCAGACATAGTGAAGTTGAAGAAGCAGCGTGAGAGAAATATCTGTTTATATCAATAAATAAATTGCAGGTTTATTTTTCTCAGCGAGAGAGAAATACCCAGGGGATGTAGCTTTGGAGTGACTACAATTCAAATCCTTCCTTTCCATGTCCAAGGGTTAGGCTGCCCTTCCCCGGAGCCACTTGGCTGGGGACAATGGGAGTTGCAGTCCTATCCCAACCGAAGCAGCCCTTTGCCATCAATCTGCCACTAGGGGGCCCAGGGTGAGGCTGCTGTTGGTCACTCTGACCCCGTACCAGCCTTGCCAGTATAGCGTATCCTGGCCTCCATGTTCAAATAAGATGTAGCGGACGCCAGCAGGGTAGTTGTGAAACGTGTGTGACACCTGAGCAGGGAAAAAGAAGGCGAGGAGCAGGTGAAAAGGGGCATTTTAACCGGTAACTCTGAAGATCATCTGGGAGCGAACCAGAGGTGGCTATTCAGCCGGTTCTGACCAGTTCTGGAGAACCTGTAGTGGACATTTTGAGTAGTTCGGAGAACCGGCAAGTGCCACCTCTGACTGGCCCTGCCAACCCCATCTATTCTCTGCCTCCCATTGAGTCCCAGATGATTGGCTGGGTCTTTGGTTGCCCTGCACAGGAGAACGGAGCTGGAAAGCAGGTTAGCGGGGTGGGGGGGTGGGGAATGGAGAATTTGCAGTATCCTTTCCCTGCCACGCCTACCAAGTGTTCAGACCCAGCCGAATTCCCCGAGAGCAAAGAAAGATAAACTTAAAAACTCAAACTTTCACGGCTTTAATCCACAAATAAACCTCTCTGTAGACCAGTGATCCCCAACCTTTTTTATGCCGCGGCCCGGTATCGGCATCAGCTGGGCGCCGCGGCCCGGTACCGGCATCAGCTGGGCGCCGCCATCTTTTTTTGATGAAAAAGAAATGGCTTTCTACTCAGAAAAGCTCACCGGAAGCGCTGGCGCCGCCATCTTTTTTTGATGAAAAAGTGCTTCCGGTGAGCTTTCTACCCAGAAAAGCTCACCGGAAGCACTTTTTCATCAAAAAAAGATGGCGGCGCCCAGCAACCAGCGGACCGGTAGGACTTGTTCCGCGGACCGGTACTGGTCCGCGGACCGGTGGTTGGGGACCCCTGCTGTAGACAACAGATGGCTTGCAGCCAAGTAGTCCAATTAGAAAAACCTTCAAATAAATCAGAGTCTGTCATCATCATCACTGATTCCTTCCAACATTGGAAACCAGGCTTATATTCCCTGGAGGGAGGGGCCATTAATTAGCATTCCTACTCCCGGAGCCGCCTGTGCTGCTCTTCCATGAATCATCCTGCTCTCACTCACACCTAGCACAGGCTCCTCAGAAACGTCCTCCTCATTGCTGCCGGCTAACCACAACACTAAGCCACGGCATGCCCACCAAGCCACGCCCACAGAACCGGTAGTAAATTTTTTTGAATCCCACCACTGGAGCGAACCGGTTCACTCCGACAATCGGCTGCTGGCCCCCCCTGCCCACTTGGCCTCCATACTGACCGGCTTTTCAACCTCCACTGCATTGCGTGGCACAGCCGGTTGCCACGCGTCAGCTGTTGGAGACACAGGGGGAGTGCAGGATTGCAGGAGAAGGTCAGTAGGAAAGCCTTGGCGCATGCACAAAGCACGCGTTTGCTGCGCCATGCGCGCGCATGGTGCGCGCACAAAGCACACCCACCAAGCCACGCCCACCGAACCGGTGGTAAACCAATTTGAATCCCACCACTGGGCATTTTTATCCCAATTCTGTTCACCCGATTCGATTCTAGAATTACAGAGAGGATTTTAAAAACCTCCAGCTCCAAATCCGGTGGGCTCTAAAAGCACCATATTGTGTGTATTACACACAGCATCAGCAGGACACTTATACTTCCTAAGTAAGATCAGCACTTGGCTTGTGGGATGGACAGCATGTAAGCTTAGCGATAAATAAAATTAAAAAACAATTTCTGGGGTCTTGAGCTTGGTTGTTTTCTTGCAGATGTTTCATGACCCAACTAGGTAACGGCATCAGAGCTAGAAGGGATTAAAAAAAAGAGAGACAGAGAGTGCAAACTCCCTCTAACACTGAAGATGTTAATTAGTTGAATCATGAAACGTCTGAAAGGAAAAAAAAACAAGCTCAGACAGTACCCAGGACTCCACAGTCCTCCTCCTCTTCCTCCTCTAGACGAATGCCACACCTTCTAACACTGATGATGTTGCCTAGTTGGGACATGAAAAGTCTGCAAGGAAACAACCAAACTCAGAGAACACCAAGGACCCCACAACCACTTCCCCCCTCCTTTCCTTCCTCTACCCCCATCTCCTCTCTGCAAATCCCCCGTCTCCACCCCCTCTCCTTCCTCCTCCCCCAATCTCTCCCTCTCCACAAACACCACTCATTCTAACACTGATGATGTTGCCTAGTTGGGTCATGAAACATCCAAGAAAACAACCAAGCTCAGAAAGCACCAGGGACCCCACAGTCATTTCCCACCCTCCTTTCCTTCCTCTACCCACATCTCCTCTTTGCAAAACCCCCCTCCCTTCTAGCACTGATAATGTCACCTAGCTGGGTCATGAAACATCTGCAAGAAAACCAGAAAGCAAGGAACCCATAGTTTTCCTCCTCCTCCCTACAAACACCACTTCTAGCAGTGATGATGTTACCTACTTGGGTAGTGAAATGTCTGTAAGGAAACCACCCAGCTCAGAGAGCACCAAGGACCCCACAGTCCTTCCCCCCACTTTCCCTCCTCCACTCACAATCTCCTCCTCTCTGCAAAACCCTCTCCTTTCTAGCTCTGATGATGTTACCTAGTTGGGTCACGAAATGTCTGCCAGAAAACCACCACGTTCAGACAGCACCAAGCACCCTTCATTTCAACCCCGAGCTAGAAATGTTCTCCTTCAAAATGGTAGAGGTTCCCTTCGCACATCCGTCGTTTCCGGCTCTCGGGACCGGTGCTCATCTCCGGCACAAAGCCAAAGAGCCAGCGCTGTCCGAATATGTCTCCGGGGTCACATGGCCGGCATGGCTAAACGCTGAAGGTGCATGGAACGCTGTTCCCTTCCCACCAAAGTTGGTCCCTATTTTTCTACTTGCATTTTTTACATGCTTTCGAACTGCTAGGTTGGCAGAAGCTGGGTGTCAGGATTCCGGCACTTAACCCCCATTTAAATCATGAACCTTGAGCCAAACTTCCAAAACCTCAAAAGGATTTATTGGGAGTTAACATGTCTGGCACTGCTAGGGTGTAGCCGACACTGAGACACATCATTCATTGTCACCCTTGACCCTGGTTTTCCCCCCACCCCCTGGGTGTATCATAGTTCATATTCTCCAATGGGACACATCCAGAGCCCAGAGTCATCAATCATGCTCTCCAGTTAGAATTTTGCCTGGCAGAAACTTCGGTCACCTAGGTACTATCTTTGAAAACATTTATGGAATGCACTTTCGGTTTTGCAAGCTGTCCCACTCCTTCCCCCCCCCCACTTTCTGCTGACAACTTTAAAAAGACCATTGAAATATTTTATGAGTTGACGCTGGGACAAGAAACGGGAGCTCACTCCATGATGCAGCGCTAGCAGGGGTGAGATTCAAATTTTTAACAACCGGTTCTGTGGGCGTGGCTTAGGTAGTGAGCGTGGCTTAGTGGTCATGTGACTGGGTGGACATGGCTTGGTGGTCATGTTATTGGCTGGGTGTGGCCAACTCAATATCACTCACATCGAGGCACGCATCTCCTCACCTGGCCTCTCATGACTGTGGGGATGCTCCAACAGTCGTAAGTGTGAAAAATGGTCATAAGTCACTTTTTTCAGTGTCATTGTAACTTTGAATGGTCACTCCACACAAGCAAAGTACCAGCAAAGGAGGGGGAAAAAACTCCAGAGACAGAAAGTCTAGTCCTGCCAAGAATGTAATAAGGGTTAACAGAGAGGCAGTTTCTGTAAGCAACACCAGAATGTTTCCTTCCTGCCTTCCTTACAGGATTAGGCCAGTCATTTCTTCTAACAACTGGTTCTCCGAACTGCTTAGAATGTTAACAGCCAGTTCTAGCGAATAGGTGCGAACCTGTAGAATCCTACCCAAGCGCTAGAGATTCGAACCGCCTGAACTGCCGACCTTTCTGGTTGACAAGCTCGGTGTCTTAGCCACCGAGTCATCGGGCCCCTTAAAAATTCTCTTTTACTGGCAAATAAAAAACACACAACCCTTTGGCCCCTCGTCCGATGCCACCGGGTAAAACTTGGGGGGGCAGAACCGGGCTGTGATCCAACCCACTCCCCTACCTTGCGCCATTCTGCATCGCTCCACTGTTCGATCACAACCGGTTCCGGCAGAAACTCCTGGAGAACAATGTAGTCTTTGGACAGGAGCCTCACACAGAGGTGGTACTGGCAGCCGCAGTCGAAACGCGCAGCGTACCTGGGGATAAATGGGGGTTGAAGGAAACAATGCCAGCTCTTAAAAAAAAGAGGTCAATAAAAACACAGGGGGTCCTCGAAATACGACTATAATGGAGTCCAAAATTTCCATCGCTAAGTGAGACAATTGTTCAGCCCGATTATTCCAGCTGGCGGGGTCCAGGAGGAAGGCCTTCTCTGTAGCTCCTGCCTTCTGGAATATTTTCCCCCTCCCCCAATATCTCCAAACCTCCTCTTGTGGCCTGTTGGACACAGGCCCCTCCGGCGGTCGAATCAGAGGAGGAGGAGGAGTTGTGGGGGTCAGGGCCAGCATCAAGGCAACCTGGGAGCTCTGAGGGGGAGGGAATGGAGCTGGCAGAAAGAGAGGGGGGGGAGGTGGAGCCTGGGCCGTCCGTCAGCCCTCCGATGAAGAGTCAACAGCCCCCAGGTCTGGACGTGGCTGATGAGGAAGAGGAATACCTGGGCACAGTGCCTGACTGCGGATGCTCAGAAGGCAGAGGAGAGGAGAGCAGTGGAAATCTATGGGCTGGTCCTTGGGACAGAAGAGCAACCGCTGCGACTTCTGGGTTGAGCCCTCCTTGCTGACGGACCATAGATCGCGACTGTCCGTGGCTATGGTCCGTGCTCTTTCGTTGGAGAGCCCCGATCATTATGATTAGGGGCTGAAGCTGCCTTGGAGGGGCGGCGGAGTAAGGGGAAGCTGCAAGCCAGGTTGAGGGGAACCGCATCTCCCCTTCTGGGCTTGGTCTTTTTCCCCCCGAAGACGACTGAAGCGGTGGTCCAAAATGGCCACCCCAAAGAGGAGGACTCAGCTGGACTAAGATTTGTGCAGGAGTGAAGAAAGAGGTGGATAACATCTGAGCCGGGACAATTGGGCGAAACAACCAAACAAAAAGTACCCCGGGATTAAGGTAACACTGAACTTTTAAGAAAAGTGAGCGGCAAAAATACAAAGGGACAGGAAAAAAATAAGAAAATAATCTTGACAGCTGAGCGGGGCTTCGAACCGGGAAAGGAAGAAGCCAGAACTAAAGACTTAATTAAATTGGATTAAAATATTTTGGCAATGAACAGGCATAAAATAAAGCTGGACTTAAGATTGTCAAAAAATAACAATAATAAAATTTACAAATTGGAGACTGGATTGCTCGGGAATATTGCGGTTCGAAAAACCCTAAATAATAAAATAGGGGGAAAAGGTGAAGACTTTGTATAACGGAGAGTGCCATCTTCTGGACAAAAACTTAAACTCAAACAAAAGGGAAATTATTCTGTTTCTTTATGAACTCGTGTCGATACAGTGTTAAAGCAATATTGAAACTAAGTAAGAATCTTAGAAAGCGAAAGCTGAACCAGAACAAAGGAAGAAGCAAGGAAAGACTGACTGCGGGATTGATTGTTGTTTTTGGTATAGACCCTGGGTTGGAACAATTGAGAACTTTAGAAAACTTGAAGAAGAAAGAAGAAAAGTAAAAGTGTTTTTTGTGGATTTCAACGATTATAAAATATAAGAGTGTGTAATGATGATATCTCTTCAGGAATTAAAAACGGAACTTAAAAATATGAGAGAATTACTACAGGAAAGAGGCGAATCACTTTGCTCTGTGTTAGAAGAAATGGAAAGGGCGATTGAAGAACAAAAAGAAAGAACTTCAGAGGAGGAGGAGTCGGTTCAAGGAGAAGCCATCTTAAATAGACAGTTAACACAAAGAACACTACAAAGACGAAAGAAGGAAGGCTATTGAGATTTAAGAAGGTAATCAAAAAGGGGAATACTTGTGAAATCAGGAGTGGTAGAAAGGTGCGGCAGAAAAGGGGAAAAGAAGATATCAAGAGAGGGATATAAACTGGAATGAGAAAAGATATAGGAAAAAGAGGGGAAGGAGAGGCAGTAAGAAACAGGTGCAGGAAATTAAGAAACACGGAAATAGTAAAATGATGAAAAGAAATTGTTTTTATAGAGATAATGGCTGATGAATTAAAAAGGGGATTCTGCAGGGTGACAAGGGGTAACAATATACTTGCAATTAAAAAATACTTAGAAAATAGGGTAATATAGATTATTAAAGGAGGGATAGATGCTGATAAGTCTTATTAGATGAATATATATTTTTATTTTTATCTTTAAAAGAAAAGTTAGAAATTGAAGAAATTGTAATAATTGAAATGAATGTGAAGATGTTTAAAAATGAGGTCAATATCAGTTACCAGGAATTAAATAGTCAATTTTTTCCCTTTCACTTTTTTGAAATTAGAAATAAAATTAAGGGGGGAAAATATATTGTGGAATCCAAATGAAAAGATGTAATGATTATTACTGTGACTACTTAAAAATAAAGGTTTATTGGGAATTAAGATGAGGGAATAAAGGTATATTTTAACTACTGAGGTGTCACACTCAAAGCATAAAAAACCTATGCTTGTTTTTTTTTCTCTTGTGTTAAAACTTGTATTAATCTAGAATTTATAAAAAGAATGTGTGATGAAAAGAAAATATGACAGATTAAAGAACTATTTAAATTAATAAACTAATACAGATTATTAAAAGGAAGGAGAGACATAGATAACCCTTTTTTCAATTAGGCAAATATATATTGTTATTTTTATTCTTAAAATAAATATTAAAGGATTATATTTGAAATAACTGAAATGAAATGAAAGGATGTTTGGATTGAGATTAATGTAGGAGATTAGGATTAATTTACTTGTTCTTCTCTTTTCTGAAAGTTTGGAATGGAAAAGGTAATAATAGAATTAAGAATGCACATACGAATGTATAACTATTGTCATATTTGTATGTAAAAGTGATGATCCGGAAATATGTTGTCCACTAAAAAGAGCTTTTTGTTTTTATGTGAAAAATTGAATAAAACTTGTTGGAAAAAAGAAAGAAAGAAGAGCAACCGCTGCTAGTGAAGCCTCACCCAGGGCTCTCTCTCTCTCTCTCTCTCTCTTGAATTTTGATCGTGTGACTGCTAGGATGGTCGTAAGTATAAAAAATGGTCACTAAGTCACTTTTTTCAGCGCCGTTGCAACAGTCACTAAATGAACACTTGTATATGTCAGGGTTCCAGATTGTATCCGGTTTAATCAGTAACTCCGAGGCAGACATAATCTCAAAGTTCTTTATTAAAAACAGGAACTGGCACCCTCGGTGAAATTTCAGAACTGAAATCATTCCCAGACTTCCCACAAAATTCAACCTTCACCCACCCAATTTTCTACACCTCATTAATCACGTGAACCAATTCCTCTGCAGCTGCAATTGCTTGCTGCGACACATTCAGTAACCTTGAACTTTCAAACTAAACTTTTTTCCTCTAAGAACGATTCAATGACATCACCCCCTCCCACATTCTTCAACTCTGTGGCAGCGATGAATTCCAGAGCTGACAGTATATTCTTTCTCTGGGAAAGCAAGGAGAACCAGAAGGGAGGCATAATTGACTTACAACTGTTCGTTTAGTGACCAGTTACCACAGCACCGAAAAATGTGACTTATGACCGTTTTTCACACTTACGACCATAGTAGCCGCCCCACGGTCACATGATCAAAATCCAGATGCTTGGGAAGAGCCTCATATTTATGATGGTCGCAGAGTCCCGGGGGGCCACAGGATCCCCTTTTACGACCTTTGGAAAAAGCAAAGTCAACGGAGAAGCCAGATTCACTTCACAACCGGGTGACTAACTTAACAACTGCCGTGATTCATTTAACAACGGTGGGCAGAAACCGGCAGAAAATGGGGCAAAACTCACTTAGCAAATGTTTCCCTTAACAACAGAAATTTTGGGCTCCACTGTGGTCGTAAAGTTGAGGACTACCTGTATTCTGCCTCTGGCGTTGACGGAGCTGTCTTTCGCCGCTGCAGAACGGCGCCTCTGTGCTTGTGCCTCCCACGTCCGTCCATCCGCCTCTCCTCCCTGCCACTCACCAGTCGCTCACCACGATATCAGGCCGGGCTTCGTCCATCAATTGATCCCAGTAGCCGTGATCCCGTAAGGTGATCATCTGATGCTTCATGCATGACCTGGCAAGGAAGAGAAAACCACTGGTTGTTCCAAGCCTCCATCATCATCATCATCATCATCTTTTAACAGCCTCCACAGCCAGGTGGAGTCTGGACAACTGAATGGAGCTAAGTGTTTCCTGGCCGGATGCCCTTCCCGTTGCTAACGTGGAGTTATATTCAGCAGATATATTGCCATTGTGTCCAGAAGATAGAAATATCAGCCTCTACCTAGGATCGAACGCACAGCTGCGAGGCACGCACATGCCCAGTGAGGTAAGTTTGCCTGCAGCTCGCGTGCCAGCACAAATGGCTCTGTGTGTCATAGGTTTGCCATCACGGGCCTAGAGTCACCCTCATGGTAAAATGGGCAGCCAATAAATAAATAAAATAAAAATAAACTTTAGCTTTGAAGTTTCCAAGCTGCCCGTGGGAAAAACTCAGTTGGAAATTCCCACCACCGAAGGAGGAGCCCGTTTAACAATGGTCAATCCGCATGTTAGAAACCCCGCAAGGGAAGATCAGCGAGTCCCTGGCTGTCCCGCCACTCACTCGTAGGACGTCACAAAATATTTCCGAACATGCGGAAGGGGGATATTTCTTCCGTGATTTCCCGGAAGCTGCTCGATTTTCCAGCCGTTGCCTCCGTCACATTCTTTCACCCAGGCGTCAAAGCCTTCTGTGGCGGGAGAGAGAGAGGACACACAAAGGAGAGGACTACACTGTAGGCTTGATGTTCGGCACTTGGGAAAACATTTCAAAACTAGGGAGACGAGACCACCAGGAGATCATGCCCTAAAATAAGGCTACTTTGGAGGCAGAATTATGGAACTGGTTGCACTGGGTTATTTCAGGATTTTTTTTTTAAATTTGCTTAGCCATGTTGGTATTGTGGTTCGCCGGCAGCCTGTGCAGACAGCAGCGGAATCGGACAGTGGGGAAGAACGGGGACCAGTCCAGGAGTCTGGGGAGGACTCAGACGAGGGT